CTTCTACTATAGCGCCGTTTGCGACTAAACAGTGCGTTAGACGGTTGACTGGTGATGTCATTTCCGATTACAAATTTCTTACCCCCACCACCGATATGCTCTCTCCAGTCCTCCATGGGCATCACCCACATTCACCACCATGAACGGCGCGCACTCTACATGTGTTGTATCCGAAGCATGTGTACTCAATTTAAAAATAACAGGAATATTATTATCTTGTTGACCCATTCTGTATTGTGTTTATAGCGTTACTAATATTGTTCATAATTTTCCAAAATACAAAATAAACATTTGTAACTGCGTAAGTACAAAGAACTTGATATTTGAAAGTTTCTAACCTTTCATATTTCATTAGATATTATGTGCCGGTTGTTATTTACAATTAGCGATTTACAATTATATTAATACAACAATGTATCTCAATTAATATTCCAAATATGTTTGCGTCAATAAAAAATTTACAAACGACTATTTCAAACATGTAAACCAAATGTTCCGTCGAAACATATCAGAACATCTAATATTGGTTGCCATTTGCTAATTAATATTGTTTAATCTTCAAAATAATTATTGTTACAGCATAATAATAGCTTTTTATATCAATAGAATGAACGGAACTCTAAAGAGATTTCTGCAATTGTATCCAATAGCGCGTAATTGGAGAGTTCTATCAAATTATTTGGTACCATTACAATCGATACAGAAAGTATCACGAGTTTATAGTACTAGCTTGACAGGTAATTGAATATTTTATATACATTTGCGGTATAAACATAATGTTTTAACAAAACATATGTGTTTCTTAGATCATACGCAGCTGGAAAATTGTATATCACCGATAGAAAAAAACTATGTATCTACTGATGTCAAGACATCATATAAATCTATGGAAATATTGGAGAAAGCAGCAAGAAATTATACAGATATGACTGCACATGATGCTATTGATGCAATATTTACATTATTTAGAGTTTCTAAAGATACAAGAGAGGATTTGCAAAATATCAAGCGGCATGTAGGCTTTTTACGTCTGTGGGAAGTGTTACACAGAAATATTAGACTTTTGAAAACTAGCGAGATTATTAGCAGTTTGAGAATGTTAGCATATTTCAAGATTTCAGATAACTGTGTTTTATCTCAGTTACTATTGCAAATGATTCGTGCAAACGTAAATGAGATGTCACTTGATGAAATAATCAGTATATTTATATTATTAAAGAAAATGGATAGTACACCATTGAAAGATGCTTTACTGATAGCTCTACCTGTTGTATTTGAGACACAACTATCCACAAAATTGGATTCAGATAACATTTTTATGCTGGCACGAGCATTAAGATTTATAAGTGAAAATAATATTAAAAATCCAGAAGTACAAAATATCTTACTCAAGTCATTAAAAAAACTTGAAAAGGATCTAAATGTACAAACAGCTCGATCCATCTTTTGTAGTTTATGTATTATCTCTTATTCGTCTCCAGCTTTTTTAGCCTTTGAATTGCTATTTAACGTTCAAAAGATTTTAATAAGTGATGCAAAACAATTGAGTGTTTCAGAGATAATAAAAGCGCTCAGTAAACTGGTACTTGTCACTTCAAGGAAGTATGTCACTTTTATAAGATTCTTATATTAATATTAATTGATATTGTAAAAGATAAAACATTAACAATATGTTGCAGCAAAGAATATGGATACAAATTCTATAATGAAGCACTGGTGGATGCTTTTGTCAATTCAGCATTATCCACAGATATTTCTTTTGAAGATTGTATCTATTTGCTGAAACTTTTAAATGAGCTGAACTACGCGCATATACCCTTGCTGGAGTATTTAGCAGCAAAATGCTTTGAGCAACCAAATCTGTTAAAAAATGCATCGTATTTCAGAATATTTATTTTCTTAGAAGGATTAATTAATGCCGATTACAAGCCAGTATTTTGGGATATTATACGAGATGCGATATTAGCGAATAAAATGGAGATCAAAGTTTACAACAGATCTATGATTAAATTTGCTCTGCATTTGATTGCATTGGATTGTTATAGCCCAAATTTAATCAGCAAAGTCTTTTCTCAAATTATAAAAACCAATGAACCAATGGAAGATATTTATGTGAGAGAACTGTTACTTTTATATCAGAGTGTTAAAACGCTGTATCCTATGTATAATGGACCATGGCCATCACACGATATACTTGAACATGCTATAAGCATACACAAAACATTGCTTAGTCCTATATTTTCGACATTTTCTTTAAAAACGGCATTAGAACTAGCATTAGGTGGTCCTCAATATGTTCATAATGACTTGAAGACAAAACTTGGACATTATATTGGTAAGTCATTAAAAAACAAAGTAGTTCCTCTCATTCTTACAAAAGAAAAAATATCTTTGTTTGCAAAAGTCAAAGATATTTACTTTTTAAATATTCAATTAGACAACAATTAAAGTAAATTAAACTAAAACATTATTTAATGTTAAATATTCAATTCAAGATGTTAATATAATTTAATAATTACCTTAATTATATCTTTAACAATTTATTATGCTCCATTAATTTTATTGTGGTTTTTTTCATCTGCGATTAACAATTTGAAATTTGTGTAAAATTTTATCATTTTAGATCACGTTGTTGTAATGAGGAAAGGTGGATATCCTGTTGCAATTAATACAGTTACATTAAATGAAACTAATACAACATATATTGAAGATATACAAACTCCAAGCGAAAGTCAGATGTAAGAACACATTCGGTTTATTCAATATACATATTATAGTTTATTTTTGTTTTACTTGTTACTAATGTGTATCTTGAATTTTAGGATACTTATTTTCAATTTACCTGACGCTGCATACGCTGTGAATTCTCAAAGATTAAAAAGTACATGGTCATTAAAAGTAAAATCCGTAGAAGCATTAATAAAAACCAGCGTAATTGCGATCAACTCTAATTCTTGGATGAAACTACCAGAGTATGAAAGACTTCCCTATCTAATGCGAGCTATAAAACTAAAGTGTGAAGACGACTCATTTTTAACGAAATAAAATAATATTTTGTAAACGATACAAAAGTTAGGATTGTCAGGCATATTCTGAATGATATATTTTGAATGATACAAACGTAACAAATGTATATTATTAATGTATGTACAGCTAAACAAACAATTGAAATATACATATAACAAAATTCCTTTAGTTTGTAAAAAAAATAAAGAATATAAGATAGTATGTAGATAAAACAATTTATACAAATCCAACTTTTTATTGTAGAATAAAAATTATATGACACGACATCTAATGAGAAACAATTACTTTACAATTATTGGCTGCTAAAATACAGTCGAATCTCGATAACTCGAACCTCTACAACTCGAAAATCTCTATAAGACGAAAATTTTGTTCATTTCCTTCCGCTCTCTACTGCAGAAAACCTCTATAAATAAAACCTACTCTCGAAATAAAACCTACCTACCTTAACTCGAATTATTTCAAATTTTTATTTCAAATATTTAAGATGTATTATTTTACCTCTGCAACTCGAATTTAAAGTAGCCAGATCTCTACAAGTCGAAGTTCATCTCTATAAGTCGAACTTCAATTGTCGCTGCCTCTATAATTCGAAGTTGTAGCTATGTGTAACCATGAGTATATTGCCTGGTATTTTGTTTTATGATTACATTTATTATATGTATGCAATAAATAATTCACTGTTAAATATTGTTTTCCCTTTAAAAGCCCATTATAATCGAAAAATGATAAACTCTTGTACGAAGTCTCCGTAAGTCGAATTTTCATATTTTAACCCTTTTTTACTCGAATTTCGATAAGTCGAAAACTCGATAACCCGAAGGGTTTTTCTCTTCCCTTGAGATTCGAATTATCGAAGTTTGATTATATATTTATTTTAATTGTATTTTTTTAGGATAAATTTGAACTGTAACATAAAAAACATCTCAAAATATAGAAAGGAACAATGTATTACAATGTGATTAGATAACTGGCAGAACTAGTTTCTAAAAATTTATTAAATGCTCTCTCTCTCTCTCTCTCTCTCTCTCTCCTTCTCTAAAATTATGATTGATGAGAAAAAGGATATGTTAGTTAAATAATACATCTATACAACAATTTATTCATATGAAAATATTTATATAATATATTAACAATGAAATATATAATACTGGATTCTATTCATCTTCATACCTATTTGTGCGCGCGCCCGTGTGTGTGTGTGTGTGTGTGTGTGTGTGTGTGTGTGTGTGTGTGTGTACAGGACGTCCAAAAAATCGCCCGCAATACTTCGGGAGGTGATTCGGGATTATAAGACTTATTTAAGATAGACTACGCGCCTCCATTGAAATTTAAAAATAATTTTAAAATAATTTGAAATTCTAAAAATAATATAATTGTATTTACAAATATCAAGAAATTGAAAAAAAGTTAAAAATTAAAAAAAGAATATAAAGAAGAGATGCCAAGCGGACTATGTCTCCACGTGGTGAATCCTGGATAAAAAAAATGAACTATTATGATTAATTATGATTGTTATACTTATGATTATAAAAAAATAATTACAATTTCTTTAACATAAAAAGTGATTATAACTCAGAAACGACTTATTTCCTATGTTACCTTTTTTAACTATTTTTGAGTCCCGAATCACCTGATCCCGAAGTATTGCGGGCGATTTTCTGCACACCTATATATTTATAGATACATATATATACGAGATGTGATAAAAAAATACGGTGAATGTTGAAATAAAAAAAACTTATTAAAGTATTAAATTAAATTAAGGTAAATTATAATTAATCCCCTTCAAAATACTCCCTCTCGCTTTAATACACTTATTCCATCATTCTTGCCACTTGCTGAAGTAGTACTGGAAGTCCTTTCATAAGTGACTTTAGTTGCACTGTCGCGACTGCTTCAATGTCTTGAATTGATTCAAAACGTTTATCCAGTTTACCTTTCAGTCATTTTGATTTTGAGGAAAAACCAGAAGTCGCACGGTGTCAAATCCGGTGGATGAGGATACATCGTAATGTTTTTATTTAATAGAAATTGCCGTATCAGAAATGAGACAGACCATTGGACATGATGGAAGATGAAACCATTTGCTCATTTCTCAGGTCTTTTTCTACGCACATTCTTTTGTTTCTTAAGCACTCTAAGCGAGATGGGAGTATTTTGAAGGGGATTAATTGTAATTTGTCTTTTAATGTTTAATAAGTTTCTTTTTATTTCAACATTCATATTTATCACAGTAGTACACACGACACGCGCGCACGCGTGCGTGTGTATATATATATATATATATGTATATATGTATATTATATAGTGTGTATGTGTGTTTACACAGGTATGGCTAGGATACAAATATTTGCGTTTGTTCAGTCCTTGAATTCTTACAATAATCAGTAAACTTTCATCAATTTCAATAGCCTACAAGCAGTCAACTATTAAATCAATTCCTTTTAATATAAAATATTATGCATGTAAAACTACCGTTTGGTTAAAAAAATATAAAGAAATTAGAGATGTGCGAACTCTTTGAATAGGAATCGAATTGAATCAAATCATTTCAATTGAGTCATAAGATTCGGATTTGAATCTCTATGATTCGAATCCAAACTATTCGAAAATTTTAAATCCAAGAGATTCGAATACAAATCACATTATATCGACAATTTGACCGTGTTATTAAAATTACTTTTATTTTGTATGATCTACTGAGGACGGTTTAATTATTGGATGGGGTACCTTTAATAATTGAGTTTTTGCTTAATTATTTCAGTTACTATCTGACATTAACAATAAGTAAAGTATATTTTAATTGATATTTAAATACGAGTATATATTCACAAAATAAATTTATATCACATAAGCAATATTATTTTTACGTCAAAATCTTTTATTATATATGTATTAAATACACAATCTAACAATTATATTGTTAGAAATGATGTTTTAACGATTCGATTCGGATAAAATTTAGTCGATTCGGTTTAATTCAGATTCGAAAGATATGATATGATATTCAATTCGATTCGACGTCGAAAAAACTTCAATTCGCATATCTCTAAAAGAAATATGTTATGTTCCAAAGTTGAAGCTTATGCTTATTTAAAAATCTAGATTAAAAAATCTAATTCAATTGTCATAGCACCTCCTACTAGCACCCATTATATGTATATCTCTGAGATCCAAGTATTATTATCATTGATTCAAACCAAATAATTTCAAAGCGTTAAAAGCGGTAGCCAGCGCGACTTGTTCCGGTGTGGTTCGCATAAATGCCGCTACCATTTCCACGATCGTTGGCAAGGCACAGGGCTCGTTACGTTGGAAGGTGCAGTAACGATGAAGAAACGTCATAGATCGTTCGGTTAGGGCATCCTTCACGTGTACGGGCAATTTGCTGGCTCTAGTATTTGGATACATAAACGGCGCATCGGTTTCCACTAGAATCTTATCTAACGGCGCTCGCCCTCCTTCCAATAATTGTCTCACTCCACTATCGGATTTATCTTTGCACAAATAGCCCGTGATGCCCAGATAAAAACCTTGATCCAAGTAAATCTGCGCCTCTTCCGCGGTGCCGATGAAGGAGTGAATCAAAATGGGCGGCAGACGGTTCTTATACTGGTCAAGAACCTCCAACACGTCCTTCTGCGCGCCTCTCTCGTGTATCACTAGTGGCTTATTTAATGAACAGGCTAGTTCTATTTGCTTGTGAAATACAGCGCGCTGCGCCTCTGGGGCTGAAAAGTCACGGCTGTAGTCTAAGCCGCATTCTCCGATTGCAACGCATTCCGGATTGCTGGCTATGCTTTCCAATTCGCGCAATGTGTTCGGCTCTTCCCAAGACTTTGCGTCGTGCGGGTGCACACCGGCAGTTGAGTAAAGTGTCCCGGGATATATTCTAGTCAACCTCAGCGCCTCTTTGCTGGAACGAATACTAGCACCGGTTACCATAATTTTCTGCACACCGGCATCCTTCGCCCTTTGTATCACACTATCCAAGTCCCGACTATACTTCTTATTTGTTAGATTGGCACCCACATCAACTATAATGTAATTTTCATAGCATTGAGTCATAGACGAGGGAACAGCTTTTTCCTCCTCAGCCATCCCTTTAGGCTTTTGCGGAACAGGCTTTTGCTGAAGCAGAAAAATAATAAACAAATATTAAACACGCGGTAGCGAAACTATTTTATCAACGTTACGCCGCGCAAGACAGATATGTCATCGCTTTATTACAAAATAAGAACACTGCTAGTGTCAGTGGCAATAAGGCGCGATAGACTATTTTTAGAAAGCGTACGCACGCTCTTAAGAAATGCAATTCACAAATATGAGCTACATATAAATTTCGTAAATGCGCCTCTGTTAACGTTTATCGTCATTTTAATAAACAAAAATGTATGTTTACACAGAAAGCCTAAAGGAGAAAAATATAAAAAAAGTGATTTTACGAGATATACATATGTATATAATATAGCGATGCATTATTATTGTATAAAAATCAGTATAAATATAATATCAATATAAATTCCAATATAAGTATGTACACATATGTATATTAACTCTACATATTTATTAAAAAATCAGTACATACATACATACATACATATATTGATTATTGCACACATTATACACATGAGACAATTATACAACAAATTATCGAGAACGTCAGATACCAGTGATCGAATTAAAGCTTACATAACAATTTAAACATTTAACTTGGGAATAGTCAGCTGATTCTTTTTTGTAAACGCCTGCTTTTTTACAATTAAAAATCATTATTATTAATTACATTTTGTATATTATTAATTCTACTTATCAGTATATTTGAGAAATCATTGTATATTATAGATTTACGCAATTCTAAAAAAAAGAAGAAATAATAAAAAAAATAGATATGGATTTTTAATCAATAACAATAATTATTATGTTATTGATTAAAAATCCATATCTATTTTTTTTATTATTTCTTCTTTTTTTTAGAATTGCGTAAATCTATAATATACATAATAATTTCTCAAATATACTGATAAGTATATCTCATTTTCTTGCTGATGAGATGTATAAATCATTCCAGATGATTTCCCAAACTAAAGAAAAGAATGAGTTGTGAAATCATAGAATAAAATCACTTATCTTTATGTTTCTTTTTCTCATTCTTTTGAAACATATTCAAACCATCTTTTCTTTTATTCGTTCTGTCATACGGTTGTCCACTCATTATCATCAATGTTTTTTTTAAATGAGTTTCTTCTGATTTTTAATTATGATTTAAAAATTCAGTTTTCTTATTCATAACTTTTGATAAAAATTAATAAATTTTAATTCCAAAAAATCAATTTACAGTACATTTCTGAAGGGAGTAAAGAAATTATAAAAAATTAGATTGATTATATTTTTCAAGGCAAACATAAAGGTAAATAAAGATCAATAAAGATAAAAGTGTCAAAAAAGTATAATTTTACAGGAAAATACACAACAAAAAGATTCTAATGCTACTTATTTGATCTCACAATTATTTTTTGGAATGATTTAGCCTCATTTCAAATCAAAGCTCCATAAGTAAGAGAGTCTGACATCAAATATATCAAAATATGTATATTAATATGTATGAAAAAGAATGTAGAGGATCAAATAAAATAAATTCAATACATTTAATGTAAGTATTGTTTAAGTTCATATTTCATTGCTACTACTCGTAACACTCGTTACAGATTAGTTTCATCTTTAGTATTTATATTTTCATTAATATACAGGATTACTATTTTATTAATACTTAACTTATTTTACTTTACAATAATCAAAATGAAATTATTAAATGTATTGTGCGAAATATCTCCTGAGACAAACATTGCATCTATGAGAGAACAAGTGGCTGACTAACATTGTACGTCTGTATAATTTCTTCGCACACTTGCAGTTATCCTCTGTTTTAATGATTAAAGGACATTAACGGGCACTTTATATACTTTTTGCAAGACCAAGAGAGATACTTCTACATTATTCATTTTTAGTAGTTCTGTATCTTATGAAATCAATATCTTTTAAACAAAGCAAACTTGGAGAAAAGAATTTTGTTTATTTTGAGATCCTAAATTCATATTTTAAGTTTAACAATTTAATCCGACAATGCAGCTAAGGGAATATACAGAATGTTCCATTTTAATCAATTCAGTCAAAGGAGGGTACAATTTTTAAGTGGTTTTGCTACCGCTCGGGGATCGTTTTATTTCTACACTTTCTTATGTATTCTTCTTCATAAACCGAAAATTATCATTATTATAACGCCACACTTAAGGAAAAATTGGAACATTGAAATAAAATGAATAAAATTCTTATTTGCATCATTGAGATCGCTGTCAGTTATACTTCAATAATTTAAAAATTAATTCATAATTGGACCAAACGGGAATAATATTATATCGCAAAATCGTTAATTAGATTATATTTTTTACTATATTTGTTATAAAAAAATCAAATGTAGAAATACAAAATAATTCGTAAAGAAGAGTTAGAATGCAATAATTGATGTATTATAATAGTTTCAAGTTTTCATGTTTCTCATATGATTAATTATTAATTTTTTAATAAATTAATAAATGTTAAAGTAAAAAATATAATCTAACGTTTTGCGATGCAACATTATTTGCATTTGGTCCAATTATGAATTATTTTTTTGATTATTGAAGTATAACTGACAGCGATTTCAACGATACAAATAAGAATTTTATTCATTTTATTTTAATGTACCAATTCTTCCTTAAGTCTGGCGTTATTACATAATTTTCGGTTTCTACGAAAAAAAAAAAGCAGAAATACATAAGAAAAGGCAGAAATAAAGCGATTCCTGAGCGATAGCAAAAACGCCTAAAAGTTGTACCCTCCTTTCTCCATTGATAATATAAAATATTTCAGATGAAAGTGTAAGGGTTTTGAAAGGGATACATTTTGGTCACGTTGTTTTTTGTATATAAACATATAAACAATTATAAGTTGGACTAGACCGCATAAGTAAATATCTGAACAAATTAATTATTAGGCATAAAATCCACCCTCAACAATAGAAAGCGCTGTCAAATTTATTTGTAATATGTACTTAAGGTCTAGTTCAACTTACTATTGTTTATAGGTATATATTTTATCATTGTTATTAATATTTTATAGTTACAGAACGTAGTTTAATTAATTTATACATATACTTATACATATAATTATAAATGATATGTATAGATAGAATGATATGTGAATAACATAAACAAATGAAAAGAACCTTATTTCATCAGAACAGGATCTTAATGCTTAATAATATATTTCTACATGAATTCATATATATACACAAGGCATCACAAATGCCTACCTACCTGAACTTGCATACTAACCCATGTATATGTATTATACAGAGTGTCCCATTTTAATGTCCCACCCCAAATAACTTTTTTATTTTTGATCTTAGAAAAAATATTTCAGACAAAAGTTGTAGGGTTTCGAGGGGGACATAAGATGATAACATTGGTTTGACTCTAAGTGACGTCGTCAAGGTCAGGACAAGGTCACTTTTTTAAATGGAACCTCCCATTTTGCATTGCATATTCTTGTAGCTTATTTCAAGAGCTTTCCAAAACACATAGATAACATGTTTTTTGGTTAAGTAAATCTCGAGTTATAAAGCTTGAAAGTTACAGTACCACCGGCATTAGCATTATCTAGTGATTATCTATTGAAGAATGTTTCTCTTTTTTCAAAAAATAAAAATAATTTTCAAAAATGAAAATAAAAGAAATAATCTCCAATAATCATGACTTTGACACATGTTGTCAAGCTCATAATCCTGAACAACATTCAAAAGATTTCAGCCATTGTTCGGACACTTTAAGATCGGAAGAGCACACGTCTGA